ACCCCGCCCCGTGACCCACCTGATCTCCTCACCCCGCCCCGTGACCCACCTGATCTCCTCACCCCGCCCCGTGACCCACCTGATCTCCTCACCACGCCCCGTGACCCATCTGATCTCCTCACTCCGCCCCGTGACCCACCTGATCTCCTCACCACGCCCCGTGACCCACCCGATCTCCTCACCCCGCCCCGTGACCCACCTGATCTCCTCACCCCGCCCCGTGACCCACCTGATCTCCTCACCCCACCCCGTGACCCACCTGATCTCCTCACCACGCCCCGTGACCCACCTGATCTCCTCACCCGCCCCGTGACCCACCTGATCTCCTCACCCCGCCCCGTGACCCACCTGATCTCCTCACCCCGCCCCGTGACCCACCTGATCTCCTCACCCCGCCCCGTGACCCACCTGATCTCCTCACCCCGCCCCGTGACCCACCTGATCTCCTCACCCCGCCCCGTGACCCACCTGATCTCCTCACCCCGCCCCGTGACCCACCTGATCTCCTCACCCCGCCCCGTGACCCACCTGATCTCCTCATCCCGCCCCCCCGTGACCCACCTGATCTCCTCACCCCGCCCCGTGACCCACCTGATCTCCTCACCCCGCCCCGTGACCCACCTGATCTCCTCACCCCGCCCCGTGACCCACCTGATCTCCTCACCCCGCCCCGTGACCCACCTGATCTCCTCACCCCGCCCCGTGACCCACCTGATCTCCTCACCCCGCCCCGTGACCCACCTGATCTCCTCACCCCGCCCCGTGACCCACCTGATCTCCTCACCCCGCCCCGTGACCCACCTGATCTCCTCACCCCGCCCCGTGACCCACCTGATCTCCTCACCCCGCCCCGTGACCCACCTGATCTCCTCACCCCGCCCCGTGACCCACCTGATCTCCTCACCCCACCCCGTGACCCACCTGATCTCCTCACCCCACCCCGTGACCCACCTGATCTCCTCACCCCACCCCGTGACCCACCTGATCTCCTCACCCCACCCCGTGACCCACCTGATCTCCTCACCCCGCCCCGTGACCCACCTGATCTCCTCACCCCGCCCCGTGACCCACCTGATCTCCTCACCCCGCCCCGTGACCCACCTGATCTCCTCACCCCGCCCCGTGACCCACCTGATCTCCTCACCCCGCCCCGTGACCCACCTGATCTCCTCACCCCGCCCCGTGACCCACCTGATCTCCTCACCCCGCCCCGTGACCCACCTGATCTCCTCACCCCGCCCCGTGACCCACCTGATCTCCTCACCACGCCCCGTGACCCACCTGATCTCCTCACCCCGCCCCGTGACCCACCTGATCTCCTCACCCCGCCCCGTGACCCACCTGATCTCCTCACCCCGCCCCGTGACCCACCTGATCTCCTCACCCCGCCCCGTGACCCACCTGATCTCCTCACCACGCCCCGTGACCCACCTGATCTCCTCACCCCGCCCCGTGACCCACCTGATCTCCTCACCCCGCCCCGTGACCCACCTGATCTCCTCACCCCGCCCCGTGACCCACCTGATCTCCTCACCCCGCCCCGTGACCCACCTGATCTCCTCACCCCGCCCCGTGACCCACCTGATCTCCTCACCCCGCCCCGTGACCCACCTGATCTCCTCACCCCGCCCCGTGACCCACCTGATCTCCTCACCCCGCCCCGTGACCCACCTGATCTCCTCACCCCGCCCCGTGACCCACCTGATCTCCTCACCCCGCCCCGTGACCCACCTGATCTCCTCACCCCGCCCCGTGACCCACCTGATCTCCTCACCCCGCCCCGTGACCCACCTGATCTCCTCACCCCGCCCCGTGACCCACCTGATCTCCTCACCCCGCCCCGTGACCCACCTGATCTCCTCACCCCGCCCCGTGACCCACCTGATCTCCTCACCCCGCCCCGTGACCCACCTGATCTCCTCACCCCGCCCCGTGACCCACCTGATCTCCTCACCCCGCCCCGTGACCCACCTGATCTCCTCACCCCGCCCCGTGACCCACCTGATCTCCTCACCCCGCCCCGTGACCCACCTGATCTCCTCACCCCGCCCCGTGACCCACCTGATCTCCTCACCCCGCCCCGTGACCCACCTGATCTCCTCACCCCGCCCCGTGACCCACCTGATCTCCTCACCCCGCCCCGTGACCCACCTGATCTCCTCACCCCGCCCCGTGACCCACCTGATCTCCTCACCCCGCCCCGTGACCCACCTGATCTCCTCACCCCGCCCCGTGACCCACCTGATCTCCTCACCCCGCCCCGTGACCCACCTGATCTCCTCACCCCCACCCCGTGACCCACCTGATCTCCTCACCCCCCCGCCCCGTGACCCACCTGATCTCCTCACCCCGCCCCGTGACCCACCTGATCTCCTCACCCCGCCCCGTGACCCACCTGATCTCCTCACCCCGCCCCGTGACCCACCTGATCTCCTCACCCCGCCCCGTGACCCACCTGATCTCCTCACCCCGCCCCGTGACCCACCTGATCTCCTCACCCCGCCCCGTGACCCACCTGATCTCCTCACCCCCCCGTGACCCCCTGATGACCCACCTGATCTCCTCACCCCGCCCCGTGACCCACCTGATCTCCTCACCCCGCCCCCGTGACCCACCTGATCTCCTCACCCCGCCCCGTGACCCACCTGATCTCCTCACCCCGCCCCGTGACCCACCTGATCTCCTCACCCCGCCCCGTGACCCACCTGATCTCCTCACCCCGCCCCGTGACCCACCTGATCTCCTCACCCCGCCCCGTGACCCACCTGATCTCCTCACCCCGCCCCGTGACCCACCTGATCTCCTCACCCCGCCCCGTGACCCACCTGATCTCCTCACCCCGCCCCGTGACCCACCTGATCTCCTCACCCCGCCCCGTGACCCCTGATCTCCTCACCCCGCCCCGTGACCCACCTGATCTCCTCACCCCGCCCCGTGACCCACCTGATCTCCTCACCCCGCCCCGTGACCCACCTGATCTCCTCACCCCGCCCCGTGACCCACCTGATCTCCTCACCCCGCCCCGTGACCCACCTGATCTCCTCACCCCGCCCCGTGACCCACCTGATCTCCTCACCCTCCTCACCCCGCCCCGCCCCGTGACCCACCTGATCTCCTCACCCCGCCCCGTGACCCACCTGATCTCCTCACCCCGCCCCGTGACCCACCTGATCTCCTCACCCCGCCCCGTGACCCACCTGATCTCCTCACCCCGCCCCGTGACCCACCTGATCTCCTCACCCCGCCCCGTGACCCACCTGATCTCCTCACCCCGCCCCGTGACCCACCTGATCTCCTCACCCCGCCCCGTGACCCACCTGATCTCCTCACCCCGCCCCGTGACCCACCTGATCTCCTCACCCCACCCCGTGACCCACCTGATCTCCTCACCCCGCCCCGTGACCCACCTGATCTCCTCACCCCGCCCCGTGACCCACCTGATCTCCTCACCCCGCCCCGTGACCCACCTGATCTCCTCACCCCACCCCCGTGACCCACCTGATCTCCTCACCCCGCCCCGTGACCCACCTGATCTCCTCACCCCGCCCCGTGACCCACCTGATCTCCTCACCCCGCCCCGTGACCCACCTGATCTCCTCACCCCGCCCCGTGACCCACCTGATCTCCTCACCCCGCCCCGTGACCCACCTGATCTCCTCACCCCGCCCCGTGACCCACCTGATCTCCTCACCCCACCCCGTGACCCACCTGATCTCCTCACCCCCCCGTGACCCCGTGACCCACCTGATCTCCTCACCCCGCCCCGTGACCCACCTGATCTCCTCACCCCACCCCATGACCCACCCCGTGACCCACCTGATCTCCTCACCCCGCCCCGTGACCCACCTGATCTCCTCACCCCGCCCCGTGACCCACCTGATCTCTGACCCACCTGATCTCCTCACCCCGCCCCGTGACCCACCTGATCTCCTCACCCCTCCCCGTGACCCACCTGATCTCCTCACCAAGCCCCGTGACCCACCTGATCTCCTCACCCCGCCCCGTGACCCACCTGATCTCCTCACCCCGCCCCGTGACCGACCTGATCTCCTCACCCCGCCCCGTGACCCACCTGATTCCTCACCCCACCCCATGACCCACCTGATCTCCTCACCCCACCCCGTGACCCACCTGATCTCCTCACCCCGCCCCGTGACCCACCTGATCTCCTTACCCCGCCCTGTGACCCACCTGATCTCCTCACCCCGCCCCGTGACCCACCTGATCTCCTCACCCCGCCCCGTGATCCACCTGATCTCCTCACCCCGCCCCGTGACCCACCTGATCTCCTCACCCCACCCCGTGACCCACCTGATCTCCTCACCCCTCCCCGTGACCCACCTGATCTCCTCACCCCGCCCCGTGACCCACCTGATCTCCTCACCCCGCCACGTGACCCACCTGATCTCCTCACCCCGCCCCGTGACCCACCTGATCTCCTCACCCCGCCCCGTGACCCACCTGATCTCCTCACCCCGCCCCGTGACCCACCTGATCTCCTCACCCCGCCCCGTGACCCACCTGATCTCCTCACCCCTCCCCGTGACCCACCTGATCTCCTCACCCCGCCCCGTGACCCACCTGATCTCCTCACCCCACCCCGTGATCCACCTGATCTCCTCACCCCGCCCCGTGACCCACCTGATCTCCTCACCCCGCCCCGTGACCCACCTGATCTCCTCACCCCGCTCCGTGACCCACCTGATCTCCTCACCCCGCCCCGTGACCCACCTGATCTCCTCACCCCACCCCGTGACCCACCTGATCTCCTCACCCCGCCCCGTGACCCACCTGATCTCCTCACCCCGCCCGTGACCCACCTGATCTCTTCACCCCGCCCCGTGACCCACCTGATCTCCTCACCCCGCCCCGTGACCCACCTGATCTCCTCACCCCACCCCGTGACCCACCTGATCTCCTCACCCCACCCCGTGACCCACCTGATCTCCTCACCCCACCCCGTGACCCACCTGATCTCCTCACCCCACCCCGTGACCCACCTGATCTCTTCACCTCGCCCCGTGACCGACCTGATCTGCTCACCCCACCCCATGACCCACCTGATCTCCTCACCCCACCCCGTGACCCACCTGATCTCCTCACCCCGCCCCGTGACCCACCTGATCTCCTCACCCCGCCCCGTGACCCACCTGATCTCCTCACCCCGCCCCGTGACCCACCTGATCTCCTCACCCCGCCCCGTGACCCACCTGATCTCCTCACCCGCCCCGTGACCCACCTGATCTCCTCACCAAGCCCCGTGACCCACCTGATCTCCTCACCCGCCCCGTGACCCACCTGATCTCCTCACCCCGCCCCGTGACCGACCTGATCTCCTCACCCCGCCCCGTGACCCACCTGATTTCCTCACCCCACCCCATGACCCACCTGATCTCCTCACCCCACCCCGTGACCCACCTGATCTCCTCACCCCGCCCTGTGACCCACTGATCTCCTTACCCCGCCCTGTGACCCACCTGATCTCCTCACCCCGCCCCGTGACCCACCTGATCTCCTCACCCCGCCCCGTGATCCACCTGATCTCCTCACCCCGCCCCGTGACCCACCTGATCTCCTGACCCCACCCCGTGACCCACCTGATCTCCTCACCCCACCCCGTGACCCACCTGATCTCCTCACCCCGCCCCGTGACCCACCTGATCTCCTCACCCCGCCCCGTGACCCACCTGATCTCCTCACCCCGCCCCGTGACCCACCTGATCTCCTCACCCCACCCCGTGACCCACCTGATCTCCTCACCCCGCCCCGTGACTCACCTGATCTCCTCACTACGCCCCGTGACCCACCTGATCTCCTCACCCCGCCCCGTGACCCACCTGATCTCCTCACCCCGCCCCGTGACCCACCTGATCTCCTCACCACGCCTTGCCCAAACTGTCAAGTATTTGCACCATACCCCTACTGGTTTGCAACCCAACCACACGCCACATATTAGTTAATTAGCCCGCCACACCCTAGACACTAATCACTACCACAACCACACCCCAGATACTAATTACCACCACAACCACACCCCAGACACTAATCACCACCACAACCACACCCCAGACACTAATCACCACCACAACCACACCCCAGACACCAATCACCACCACAGCCACATCCCAGACACCAATCACCACCACAGCCAAACCCCAGACACTAATCACCACCACAACCACACCCCAGACACTAATCACCACCACAACCACACCCCAGACACTAATCACCACCACAGCCACACCCCAGACACTAATCACCACCACAACCACACCCCAGACACTAATCACCACCACAACCACACCCCAGACACTAATCACTACCACAGCCACACCCCAGACACTAATCACCACCACAGCCACACCCCAGACACTAATCACCACCACAACCACACCCCAGACACTAATCACCACTACAGCCACACCCCAGACACTAATCACCACCACAGCCACACGCCAGACACTAATCACCACCACAGCCACACGCCACATAAACGTGGCTATAAGGTGTCCGCCTGGAGATCGCTGCCCACGGCTGGGAGTCTTAATTAAGATGACAGGACGCCAGCCTAGCAGATGCTGGGTCGGCAGAAGTGAGGATTGAGCACCACTGCCGCCTGAAGCTGGAGTGGACGCTTCCTCCCCCTAAGCTCCGCTTTACCCAGACTTACACACAGATTTGTGGGTTGTCTCCGGGAGTTTTCCAGGTAATAAATAATGCTGCAGGCGTTATTCAGCCCAACACGCCTGGGCCTGCAACTAGATTTTTCGAAACATGAGTTATCTTCATGTCAAGCTCCAAGTAACTCTGCAGCAAGCGCCGGCCATCAACTGACTATTGGCGAATCAAATCGAAGACACTTACAACAAAAATAATATTGTCGGGCATGGTTGGCCAGTCATTGTTCATCCTTGAGGGACTCTTCCTGTTCCTGTGAAGTCCCCATTCCTGTGCATGTGTTAACGTTCCTCTGCATGTGTTCATATTCCTGTGCATGTGTTCACATTCCTGTGCATGTGTTCACATTCCTGTGCACGTGTTAACATTCCTGTGCATGTGTTCATATTCCTGTGCATATGTTGACGTTCTTGTGCATGTGCTAACATTTCTGTGCATGTGTTCACATTCCTGTGCATGTGTTCACATTCCTGTGCACGTGTTAACATTCCTGTGCATGTGTTCATATTCCTGTGCATATGTTGACGTTCTTGTGCATGTGCTAACATTTCTGTGCATGTGTTCACATTCCTGTGCATGTGTTCACATTCCTGTGCATGTGTTCACATTCCTGTGCATGTGTTCACATTCCTGTGCACGTGTTAACATTCCTGTGCATGTGTTCATATTCCTGTGCATATGTTGACGTTCTTGTGCATGTGCTAACATTTCTGTGCATGTGTTCACATTCCTGTGCATGTGTTCACATTCATGTGCATGTGTTCACATTCCTGTGCATGTGTTCACATTCCTGTGCATGTGTTCACATTCATGTGCATGTGATCACATTAATCTTGTTCTTGGAGCAGGTATGGGTAGAACTTAGCCCTACATGCTGCCCTTCTTGTACTGCTTCTCTGCCTCTCTCCTAGATCCAGTGTACTCATTTCTGGCCTCTTTGTATATATTGTGACTTGTGTCTAGGGTGTGACTTCCGTTTAGTCACACCCTAGACGGAAGTATATTGACAAAAGACGTATATTGTGACTTCCGTCTAGGGGTGTGTTCTCATCATTTCTTCCCTGATCTGTTGCTTTTTCTCTGTGCCTCTAGGCACTGCCTGTTGAACCCTGGGTAATGCTCCTGTAGCTTCCCTTAATTATTAATTGTAGTATGAAATTTTCTTCAGCTGTATGTGTGTACTCACTTAGTTGTGCTTGCAGTGGTTGAGATTTGGCTCTTTGGTCCCGCCTCTTAACTGTTATTCAACTGGTGTACAAAGTCCTGAGCCTACTGGGCTAAATTATTGAACCTGAGTATGGAATCCGCCTGTAATACTAACTGCCCAATGCATTCTATCTGTTAACTACTCTTACACTGAAAAAGTTCATTCTAACGTCCCTGTGGTTAATTTGAGCAATAACTTTCCACTTATTTTCCCTTGTTAGCGTACCACCCTTGCTAAACAGTTTATCTTTATCTACCCGGTCAATTCCTCTGGGAAATTTATAGTTGGTAATCATGTCTACCCTAACTCTGTCTTCAGTTTCATGAAGTTTGGTTCTAGTATTCTCTCCTCGTAGCTCATGCCTTCCAGCTCAGGAACTAGCCTTGTGGTATACCTCTTAACTTTTTCTAACTTCGTTTGTGTTTGACTAGATGTAGACTCTACACAAGAGCCGCATATTCCACTATTGGTCTGACATGTGAGGTATACAAGATATTGAATGATTCCTTACACACGTTTCTGAAGGCAGTTCTTATGTTCGCGAGCCTTACATACGCCGTTGATGTTATTCTTTTCATGTGGGCTTCAGGTGACAAGTCTTGCGTGATATCAACTCCCTGATCTTTCTCTCATTCTGATTCTAGAAGGATTTCATGCTTCAAATACACGTCTCCTGCTCCATACACCTACCTTCCTCACTTTACACTTCCTTGAGTTAATCTCTAGTTGCCATTTGTTGGTTCATTCATTCAGTTTGTCGAAGTCATCTGGTATTCCTTTCCTGCCCTCCTGTGTTTTAATCCTTCTCATAATTTCATCATCATAAGCAAACATTGAGTGGAATGAGCCTATTTCCTCTGGAAGATCATTTACGTATTCCAGAAACAGGATAGGTCCGTGTACGAAAGTCTGTGGTATTTCACTGGTGACATCACGACTTTCTGGGGACTCACCACTCGAAGTATCTCTCTGCTTCCTGTTGTTTTGGTACTCCCTTATCCACTGGAGAACCCTACCGGTTACTTCAGCTTGTTTCGCCCACTTATGCAACAGCCTCTTAAAGCAACCGTTCTCGCAAATTCGTAAAGTCAATATTGACTTATTAACTACATGCATAGGTGATATACTAAACATAATAGATACCCTTAAAAAGATTCATAGAAAACACCAACCTTACCTAACCTTGTTAGTATCTTAAGATAAGCATCTTATTGCTTCGTAATTACAATTATTACTTAACCTATACCTATTATAGGTTAGGTAATAATTGTAATTACGAAGCAATAAGATGCTTATCTTAAGATACTAACAAGGTTAGGTAAGGTCGGTGTTTTCTATGAATCTTTTTAAGGGTATCTATTATGTTAAGTATTTTATATTATTTTGTATATTATATTATTTAAAATATTATTTTATAATATTTTAAAATATTTTTGCTAACGTACCCTTTAAGGTACGTTAGCAAAAATATTCTGATAATCCAAGCAAATGCTCTCTGCCCATCCTTCTCTTTCTAGCCTAATGCTTGTTGTTTGGTCATTGAATTGTATTAAACCTGTGAGGCACGACTTGCCATCCTTGACCTCATGATGATGGTGTGTTATAAGGTCCCTTCTCTCCAGATGTGCTAAAAGCTTTTTTCTCACAAACCTCTAGGTCATCTTGCATTGTATACAAGTTTGGGACACCATCTTGTAGCTTAGCGCCTATTGCCTATCATTTTCTGTATATTAGAAATACATTAGCTATCTTCCAACTCTCTGGTAGGTCTCCTCTTTCAGGTGACTTGCTACACACCATGAAGAGTGGCATGCAAAATTCTTCAGTATTCTCTGTTAGCATCTATGACACGATTCCGTCAGGTACAACAGCCTTTGTTACTCCCAGATCTACCAGATACCTCCTGACTTCATCTCTGGTCATTTCAATATCTTAGAAGTTTGGTTTCGGTATTCTTTCCTCGTAGCTTATATCTCTCAGCGCAGGGACTAGCCTTGTGGCATGGCTCTGAACTTTTTCTAACTTCGTTTGTGCTTGACTAGATGTGGACTCTGGAGCTGCATGGTTTGTCGCCACTCTTTAGTTCAGGGACTTCTCGAATCTCTTGATGACTTCTTCACACACCGCTTTGTCATTCTTTGTGTACCCATCCTCTTCCATTCTCAGTT